GGATGCCAGCCCAGCAGCAACAGCAGCCTCTGCCAGAGGGACTTCCACAGCAGCCTTGTCCAGAGGGACGGCCACAGCAGCCTTTTCCTATGGGACGACCGACGGAGGGACCCCAAGGCGCTCGTGGAGCCATACCGCGGAGCCACCAGACGGTCAGTGGGCAGCGGCAAGGACACCTCCGCGTGTTCCACCGAAGCCGCCCAGGAAAGCACCGTACCCGGACGAGACAGTCTGCAGCAGCCCAGGGTGGTCCACCGAAGTCGAGGAGATCCGTCGGGACGAGGGCGGACGTCGGAATTGGCGAGTGGAGGATCGCCGCGCGGGCGAGTTCCAAGATGAGCGGGCGTACGCCAACTGGGACGTAACGGGAAGCAGCGCGCAGTACACCAGGGTGGAGCGCTGGAACATCTCGTTCAGCGGCGAGGACGAGAGGAACCACGTCGAGGGGTTCCTATTCCGGCTGGAGTACCTCCAACTCCAAACTCGATGTCCGTGGGCTGAAGTTCTGCGAAACTTCCACACGTTGCTATCGGGACGGGCGTTGGAGTGGTATTGGATCCATGTCCAGCAGCATAGACTGGACCATTGGAGCCAGTTGCGTCGAGCGCTGCTTGACAGGTTCCAGAGCCATGAGACGGAGCACCAAAGGATGCACCTCCTTTTGCAACGGGAGCAGCAGCCAGGAGAGGGCGTAGACGATTACCTGCACGCCATGCAGACCCTTGCTTCTCGCCTGAAAAAGCCAATGCCAGAGCGGCACTTGGTGAAAGTGATGAAGAAGGGTTTGCGAGAGGGAATCGCGCGTTTTATTTACGCGATGGAGCTGCTCACCGTTGATGAGTTGCGGCAGGAGGCCGTCGAGGTCGAGCGCAGTTTTGGACGCAGGAGCCGCACACCATTTCCTCCAGTGACGCGCTATCCGGCAGGAGAGCGAAACAGGGTCAGCGAGGTGGCTGGACCGGAACCAGATGAGGAGGAGCACCCGCCTGAGGTCGAGGAAGTCCGGGAGAGGCCACGGAATCCATTCCGAGCGGGATGTTGGAACTGCGGAGCGTTGGACCACGGCTTCCGGGATTGTGAGCAGGAGCTGCGGAAAGTGTTCTGCTTCCGCTGTGGAAAGGCCGACACGGTTGCCCCAAAATGCCCGAATTGTGCGGGAAACGGTCGGCTGGGCGATGCGAGAGCGGGAGGAACTCGCCCAGGACGGAAACCCGCGATGTAGGGGAGCCTGCAAGGAAGGAGATAAATACTAATCATCATAATAAAAATATATTAAGGTACTTACCATATGAGGAGCGCATGCGAAGGTATATAGAAACAAGGAATAGAATTTTTAAACAGCACCAGCTGTGCGGAATGCGCCAGGTATCCCGAACGGTACGGAAGGCCAGAGATCGGTTTCGGAAGCGTAGGGACAAGCGAAGGGAAGTCGTCGCAGCAGTACAGCGGGGCGGCATCCACGATTCCAGGCCCTTCGCCGCGATAAACATTTTAGGCCAGCAGCTGACGGGTCTGTTAGACACCGGAGCGAGTGTCAGTCTGCTCGGCAAAGGCGGTAGGGAACTGGTGGAGGCGTTGGGTGTGCCTGTCCAACGATATTTCTCGGTGGTGCGTACAGCCGCAGGTGAGGATCGTTCGATCATCGGGCGATTGAAGCTACCTGTGGAATACAAAGGGAAGGTAGAGAATATTCTTTTCTATCTTTGCCCTTACCTTGAGCAGCCGGCATATCTCGGAGTCGACTTTTGGCGAGCGTTTGGCTTGGCTCCGGCCGTAGTGGGAGAAGTACCGACAAACAGCGTGATGAAGGCCGAAGAAATCCACGCCAGGGAAATGGAACACTACGCCGACCAAGAAGACGACGACGAAGAGAAGGTAGATCCCGAATCCTGGTCTCTATCCGAGGCGGGGTCCCGGAAGCTGGAGGAGATCAAGCGGATGTTCCTCACCTTTGAAAAGGATGGATTAGGAACCACGAGCCTGGAGAAGCATTCCATAGAGCTGGTGGAAGGCGCGAAGATTTTTAAAGATCGGCCCTATCCGATGTCTCCGGCGAAGCAGAAGGTGGTCGAGGACGAGGTCGACAAGATGCTGGCGCTGGGAGTCATCGAGGAGAGCATGAGCCCATGGAGTAACCGGACGACGGTGGTGTCGAAGCCTGGAAAGGACAGGTTCTGTTTGGATGCCAGGAAGCTGAACGAGGTGACCGTCAAGGATGCTTACCCCTTGCCTAGTATCGATGGAATCCTGTCCAGAATCGATCAAACGCACTACATCTCCAGCGTGGATTTAAAATTCGCGTTTTGGCAGATCGAACTGGACGAGAAGAGCAAGGAGTTGACAGCGTTCACGGTTCCTGGTCGGCCCCTGTATCAGTTCCGAGTGATGCCGTTCGGACTCTGCAATGCGGCGCAGCGGCTGGTGAGACTCATGGACCGAGTAATCCCAGCAGAAATCCGGTCCAACGTCTTCGTCTACTTGGACGATCTGCTCATCCTGGCACCGGACATCGAGACGCACTTCCGCTACCTACGACGAGTCGCCGAATGCCTAAGAGAAGCAGGATTAACGATTGGGCTTAGCAAATCGAAATTCTGTTTCAAGTCGTTGACTTACCTAGGCTTCATCGTAGGTGGAGGTCGTCTGCGGATGGATCCAGGAAGAGTGGCGGCGATCCGTAGGATGCCAGAGCCGAGGACGATGAAGGAGGTGCGAGCATTTTTGGGCACGGCTGGATGGTATCGGCGCTTCGTCAGGAACTTCGCAACGCTGGCAGCACCGCTCACCGAGGCGCTCAAGAAGACCGGGAACACGAAGTTTTCTCTGAGTCCGGAGGCGCAGCTGGCGGTCGAAGCCCTGAAGATGGCTCTAACGACAGCGCCGGTACTAGTCCACGCCGACTTCAAGCGGCACTTTTTCATCCAGTGCGACGCTTCTCACATCGGGGTTGGAGCGGTTCTGTTCCAGAAGGATGTGGACAACCAGGAGCAGCCGATAGCCTTCTTCTCGGCGAAGATGAACAAGCACCAGGTGAATTACACCGTCACCGAGAAAGAGTGCCTGGCAGCGCTCCTGGCGATCCGGAAGTTCCGTCCTTATGTGGAAGGGATGCCGTTCACCTGCATCACTGATCATGCTAGCTTAAAGTGGTTGATGTCCATGAAGGATCTATCGGGACGCCTGGCTAGGTGGTCTCTGCAGCTCCAGGGATTCAACTTCAACATCGAGCACCGGAAGGGCAGCGAGAACGTGGTGGCAGACACGCTGTCGCGATGCGTGGAGGAGATCGCCGTCGATCCGACAGAGTTGCTGGGTTTCGAGACCACCGAGTTTGCTGGGGATGAGTACCAGGAGTTAGTCCGTGAGGTGGAGGAGAATGCGGATAACTTACCGGATCTTAGGATCGAGGACGGTCTCATCTTCAAGCGAGTCTCCCCGGCAACGCTGGATGACGAAGTTGAAGGATCCGCATGGAAACTCTGGATACCGCAGAGTCTGACCCACAGCCTGGTTGAGCGAGCCCATACGGATCCCAAGGCAGCTCACGGCGGAATGGGGAAGACTCTGGAGATCCTGCGGAGGCAGTTCTACTGGCCTGGGATGGTGATGCAGATCCGCGAGTTCGTCCGAAGATGTCAAATTTGCAAGGAGTCGAAGGCCCCGAATCACCGGATGATGGTGGGGATCGGAGAGCGGGTACAGACGGAGCGGCCGTTCCAGAAGCTGTACGTCGACTTCCTTGGCAAATATCCGAGGTCGAAGAAGGGACACGCCTGGATCTTCATAGTGGTGGACCATTTCTCCAAATACACGTTCCTCAAGGCGATGAGAGAAGCAACCGCTTCGAACGTAGTAGATTTCCTCATTACGGAGGTCTTCTACAAGTTTGGAGTGCCGGAGGTGGTGCACTCGGACAACGGTCGGCAGTTCACCTCGAAGATCTTCGAGGAGGCGATGGAGAGCTTCGGGATCCGGCATCTGAAGACCCCGATTTACTCCCCACAGAGCAACGCAGCGGAACGGGTCAACCGGAGAGTCCTGGCAGCGATTCGAGGGTTCCTGGAGAGTGACCATCGGGAGTGGGATGCGTACCTTCCGGAGATTGAGGTGGCCATCAGGAATGCCGTCCATTCAGCAACAGGCGAGGCGCCGTTCTTTACCGTGTTCGGGCATCATATGTTCCTGCATGGGTCCAACTACCGACTGGCAAGGAAGCTGCAGTCAATGTGTGACCATGAAATGGGCGGAATGCCGACGGCTGACAAACTCCAGGTGGTACAGGAGAAGGTGCGCAGGAGTCTGGAGACCTCATATGACCACAGTCGCCAGCGATACGACCAGAGGGCCAGAGTCTTCACCGCAAAGCCGGGGCAAGAAGTCTATCGCCGGAACTTTGTCCTCAGCGACTTCGGGAAGCAATTTAATGCGAAGTTCGCAAAAAAGTTCCTAAAGGCCAGAGTGGTGAAGGCCGTAGGCAACAATGCGTACGAGCTGGAGGATCTGCAGGGCCGAAGTTTGGGCATCTATCATGCCAAGGACATCCGCATCTAACCTGGAAGGGAAGAAAGAACACAAAGTATACAACGACGGAAAGGAGCCTAAAGACATCTTATACTTCCCGTAAGGCGTGGGCCCCGCGTTGGGCACCTGACGGAACTGCACGGGAACAATATCCAAATGCTCCCAACGATCACGTCGGCGGTGAACCTCGCCCTGGCGCAGGCAGCGGAGACGTACCGCAAGTCCCAGGAGGCGGGAATCGGCCAAGGTTTGCGGGACGAGCTGCGGGCTGGCTTCCTGGAGATGATGCATCTCATGAATCAGGTGTTGAGACCGGCAGGTACTCACCAGCAGGAGCCGCAGCGGATGCCAGCCCAGCAGCAACAGCAGCCTCTGCCAGAGGGACGGCCACAGCAGCCTTGTCCAGAGGGACGGCCACAGCAGCCTTGTCCAGAGGGACGGCCACAGCAGCCTTTTCCTATGGGACGACCGACGGAGGGACCCCAAGGCGCTCGTGGAGCCATACCGCGGAGCCACCAGACGGTCAGTGGGCAAGCGGCAAGGACACCTCCGTGTGTTCCACCGAAGCCGCCCAGGAAAGCACCGTACCCGGACGAGACAGTCTGCAGCAGCCCAGGGTGGTCCACCGAAGTCGAGGAGATCCGTCGGGACGAGGGCGGACGTCGGAATTGGCGAGTGGAGGATCGCCGCGCGGGCGAGTTCCAAGATGAGCGGGCGTACGCCAACTGGGACGTAACGGGAAGCAGCGCGCAGTACACCATCTCGTTCAGCGGCGAGGACGAGAGGAACCACGTCGAGGGGTTCCTATTCCGGCTGGAGTACCTCCAACGCCAAACTCGATGTCCGTGGGCTGAAGTTCTGCGAAACTTCCACACGTTGCTATCGGGACGGGCGTTGGAGTGGTATTGGATCCATGTCCAGCAGCATAGACTGGACCATTGGAGCCAGTTGCGTCGAGCGCTGCTTGACAGGTTCCAGAGCCATGAGACGGAGCACCAAAGGATGCACCTCCTTTTGCAACGGGAGCAGCAGCCAGGAGAGGGCGTAGACGATTACCTGCACGCCATGCAGACCCTTGCTTCTCGCCTGAAAAAGCCAATGCCAGAGCGGCACTTGGTGAAAGTGATGAAGAAGGGTTTGCGAGAGGGAATCGCGCGTTTTATTTACGCGATGGAGCTGCTCACCGTTGATGAGTTGCGGCAGGAGGCCGTCGAGGTCGAGCGCAGTTTTGGACGCAGGAGCCGCACACCATTTCCTCCAGTGACGCGCTATCCGGCAGGAGAGCGAAACAGGGTCAGCGAGGTGGCTGGACCGGAACCAGATGAGGAGGAGCACCCGCCTGAGGTCGAGGAAGTCCGGGAGAGGCCACGGAATCCATTCCGAGCGGGATGTTGGAACTGCGGAGCGTTGGACCACGGCTTCCGGGATTGTGAGCAGGAGCTGCGGAAAGTGTTCTGCTTCCGCTGTGGAAAGGCCGACACGGTTGCCCCAAAATGCCCGAATTGTGCGGGAAACGGTCGGCTGGGCGATGCGAGAGCGGGAGGAACTCGCCCAGGACGGAAACCCGCGATGTAGGGGAGCCTGCAAGGAAGGAGATAAATACTAATCATCATAATAAAAATATATTAAGGTACTTACCATATGAGGAGCGCATGCGATGGTATATAGAAACAAGGAATAGAATTTTTAAACAGCACCAGCTGTGCGGAATGCGCCAGGTATCCCGAACGGTACGGAAGGCCAGAGATCGGTTTCGGAAGCGTAGGGACAAGCGAAGGGAAGTCGTCGCAGCAGTACAGCGGGGCGGCATCCACGATTCCAGGCCCTTCGCCGCGATAAACATTTTAGGCCAGCAGCTGACGGGTCTGTTAGACACCGGAGCGAGTGTCAGTCTGCTCGGCAAAGGCGGTAGGGAACTGGTGGAGGCGTTGGGTGTGCCTGTCCAACGATATTTCTCGGTGGTGCGTACAGCCGCAGGTGAGGATCGTTCGATCATCGGGCGATTGAAGCTACCTGTGGAATACAAAGGGAGGGTAGAGAATATTCTTTTCTATCTTTGCCCTTACCTTGAGCAGCCGGCATATCTCGGAGTCGACTTTTGGCGAGCGTTTGGCTTGGCTCCGGCCGTAGTGGGAGAAGTACCGACAAACAGCGTGATGAAGACCGAAGAAATCCACGCCAGGGAAATGGAACACTACGCCGACCAAGAAGACGATGACGAAGAGAAGGTAGATCCCGAATCCTGGTCTCTATCCGAGGCGGGGTCCCGGAAGCTGGAGGAGATCAAGCGGATGTTCCTCACCTTTGAAAAGGATGGATTAGGAACCACGAGCCTGGAGAAGCATTCCATAGAGCTGGTGGAAGGCGCGAAGATTTTTAAAGATCGGCCCTATCCGATGTCTCCGGCGAAGCAGAAGGTGGTCGAGGACGAGGTCGACAAGATGCTGGCGCTGGGAGTCATCGAGGAGAGCATGAGCCCATGGAGTAACCGGACGACGGTGGTGTCGAAGCCTGGAAAGGACAGGTTCTGTTTGGATGCCAGGAAGCTGAACGAGGTGACCGTCAAGAATGCTTACCCCTTGCCTAGTATCGATGGAATCCTGTCCAGAATCGATCAAACGCACTACATCTCCAGCGTGGATTTAAAATTCGCGTTTTGGCAGATCGAACTGGACGAGAAGAGCAAGGAGTTGAAAGCGTTCACGGTTCCTGGTCGGCCCCTGTATCAGATCCGAGTGATGCCGTTCGGACTCTGCAATGCGGCGCAGCGGCTGGTGAGACTCATGGACCGAGTAATCCCAGCAGAAATCCGGTCCAACGTCTTCGTCTACTTGGACGATCTGCTCATCCTGGCACCGGACATCGAGACGCACTTCCGCTACCTACGACGAGTCGCCGAATGCCTAAGAGAAGCAGGATTAACGATTGGGCTTAGCAAATCGAAATTCTGTTTCAAGTCGTTGACTTACCTAGGCTTCATCGTAGGTGGAGGTCGTCTGCGGATGGATCCAGGAAGAGTGGCGGCGATCCGTAGGATGCCAGAGCCGAGGACGATGAAGGAGGTGCGAGCATTTTTGGGCACGGCTGGATGGTATCGGCGCTTCGTCAGGAACTTCGCAACGCTGGCAGCACCGCTCACCGAGGCGCTCAAGAAGACCGGGAACACGAAGTTTTCTCTGAGTCCGGAGGCGCAGCTGGCGGTCGAAGCCCTGAAGATGGCTCTAACGACAGCGCCGGTACTAGTCCACGCCGACTTCAAGCGGCACTTTTTCATCCAGTGCGACGCTTCTCACATCGGGGTTGGAGCGGTTCTGTTCCAGAAGGATGTGGACAACCAGGAGCAGCCGATAGCCTTCTTCTCGGCGAAGATGAACAAGCACCAGGTGAATTACACCGTCACCGAGAAAGAGTGCCTGGCAGCGCTCCTGGCGATCCGGAAGTTCCGTCCTTATGTGGAAGGGATGCCGTTCACCTGCATCACTGATCATGCTAGCTTAAAGTGGTTGATGTCCATGAAGGATCTATCGGGACGCCTGGCTAGGTGGTCTCTGCAGCTCCAGGGATTCAACTTCAACATCGAGCACCGGAAGGGCAGCGAGAACGTGGTGGCAGACACGCTGTCGCGATGCGTGGAGGAGATCGCCGTCGATCCGACAGAGTTGCTGGGTTTCGAGACCACCGAGTTTGCTGGGGATGAGTACCAGGAGTTAGTCCGTGAGGTGGAGGAGAATGCGGATAACTTACCGGATCTTAGGATCGAGGACGGTCTCATCTTCAAGCGAGTCTCCCCGGCAACGCTGGATGACGAAGTTGAAGGATCCGCATGGAAACTCTGGATACCGCAGAGTCTGACCCACAGCCTGGTTGAGCGAGCCCATACGGATCCCAAGGCAGCTCACGGCGGAATGGGGAAGACTCTGGAGATCCTGCGGAGGCAGTTCTACTGGCCTGGGATGGTGATGCAGATCCGCGAGTTCGTCCGAAGATGTCAAATTTGCAAGGAGTCGAAGGCCCCGAATCACCGGATGATGGTGGGGATCGGAGAGCGGGTACAGACGGAGCGGCCGTTCCAGAAGCTGTACGTCGACTTCCTTGGCAAATATCCGAGGTCGAAGAAGGGACACGCCTGGATCTTCATAGTGGTGGACCATTTCTCCAAATACACGTTCCTCAAGGCGATGAGAGAAGCAACCGCTTCGAACGTAGTAGATTTCCTCATTACGGAGGTCTTCTACAAGTTTGGAGTGCCGGAGGTGGTGCACTCGGACAACGGTCGGCAGTTCACCTCGAAGATCTTCGAGGAGGCGATGGAGAGCTTCGGGATCCGGCATCTGAAGACCCCGATTTACTCCCCACAGAGCAACGCAGCGGAACGGGTCAACCGTAGTGTCCTGGCAGCGATTCGAGGGTTCCTGGAGAGTGACCATCGGGAGTGGGATGCGTACCTTCCGGAGATTGAGGTGGCCATCAGGAATGCCGTCCATTCAGCAACAGGCGAGGCGCCGTTCTTTACCGTGTTCGGGCATCATATGTTCCTGCATGGGTCCAGCTACCGACTGGCAAGGAAGCTGCAGTCAATGTGTGACCATGAAATGGCCGGAATGCCGACGGCTGACAAACTCCAGGTGGTACAGGAGAAGGTGCGCAGGAGTCTGGAGACCTCCTATGACCACAGTCGCCAGCGATACGACCAGAGGGCCAGGGTCTTCACCGCAAAGCCGGGGCAAGAAGTCTATCGCCGGAACTTTGTCCTCAGCGACTTCGGGAAGCAATTTAATGCGAAGTTCGCAAAAAAGTTCCTTAAGGCCAGAGTGGTGAAGGCCGTAGGCAACAATGCGTACGAGCTGGAGGATCTGCAGGGCCGAAGTTTGGGCATCTATCACGCCAAGGACATCCGCATCTAACCTGGAAGGGAAGAAAGAACACAAAGTATACAAGGACGGAAAGGAGCCTAAAGACATCTTATACTTCCCGTAAGGCGTGGGCCCCGCGTTGGGCACCTGAAGGAACTGCACGGGAACAATATCCAAATGCTCCCAATGATCCTGTCGAGCCGCCGTGATCCAGTAGCATCTCTCCAAATCCTTGGGTGGTGTTGCATTTTCAATCGGAATGGGCTGGAGGATTATCGATAGATCGATAGAGGCAGGATCTTCAGGACCAGGGGGGCAGGGATTTGAAAGAGCGAACCGGGAATAAGTAACGGGCTTAGGTTAAGGGAATTAAGAGAAAGGGTTTTTACCCTTGGCCTCGGCCGTTGCACCGAAAAAAAGAACGGTTCCTAAGTCTGAACTCGGTAGACAGGCCGAAGCCTATATAGGGAGGGATAGGCAACATGGAAGCCGGCAGTAGCAACGGAAAGTCAATGCGAAAAGCAGCTAATCTCCTGGGCGGCTAGGAATTACCTGAAGAACGTGGGTGAAAGTGAAAAGATTCAAAAGCGTGGTATTAAATAAACGTTTAATTTCAGCGTGGCAGTGAATCAATCGCTGGCCACGGCGATTTTTATTGAAAATCGTGGAATTATATTCAGGAGCTTACCCACCGCCGACGTTCTGGAAAGGATATATTTGTAGAAGAGGGATGAAAAAGGTTTCCAACGAGCCTCGTAGCAGCCGGGAACTGAGCCATCATCAAGCCAACCGGTGAGTCCGTTCCGTGAAGCGCCGTCTGGAACCGGCAGGTTTTCAGTACCCATATTTGGGGACATTGATTGGCTCTGCCCCTTCTCAAAAAAACGACGTGGCTGTGGCTCCGAAGGGCCTTCTTTCCTCGGGCTTGCGTCGCCATCAGTAGCGCGATTCCTGGCCACTCATGCCACCGAAGCCATTTGCGGGTCGCCAGTAGTGCCTTCTAGTTGCTAAGATATAATTCATTAATTAGTGTGCTGTTGTTTTTGTTAGGTTAATTTATTTGTCTTACTCTAATTGGTTCCGTGTGCTTGTTTCTCCGCGTCTCTTAACTTGGGTCAGGGATTTGTGCAACACGAGTTCTGCAGAATTGAGGAACGGCTTAGAAGAAGTGGATACTCACTGAAGATATACTTACCATCCCCTTTATTTCTCTTGGAGCTCCAGCAGGGATAATAGGTAGAAAAGAAAAGGGAATCTAGAGTACTTCTCCAGCCAGTTTGTGGCTTTTTCCTTAAGCGGACCGCCGCTTCTTCTCCGCTGCCGCAGTCTTGGCGCGAGCGCATCCCGGGCTAGGGTGACGTTCGCCGGAAATGAGTCCATTAGGAACTCTATTATACTCTGCCACTGTTAGCATTAAGTACCTAAAATTTGTATAGTATTAAAAGCAAGCGCAATGAACAGTGAGTAAAACGTATTTACCTGGGGAGATTGGCCGGCCGTCAAGCCGCCTGGATTAGACTCCGGTCCGCCGGAGATGGGTGGTGCCCCTAGATACACCGGAGGCACCACAGGTTGGGCGGGAGCGTCGTAGCGACTCCATCTATGCCACCATTCCGCAAAAGTCGTCAATTTTTGGTTTGTTTACTTTTGTTTGTTAGAGATGTGTTATCTGTTAGTGAGGAGTTTTGTTGAGACGTCCGATTAATCGGTGTTTTGTTGTGCGGACTGCGGGCATAGGTTCCTACCCCCCCTGGGCATCCACTGAGCTAGTCCGGCATTGCCCAGGGAATATGCAGTT